TAGAGAATTACGAGTTCGCGTCCGATTCGATTTTCCCCGTGGATAAACGGATGAACTTGAAATGTTCGCCGAGTGGCTTTCGCGTCGGACAGAGCTCGCGCTGAAACGACACTCGTGCAACGCGCTCGTCGTCGAGTTCGGAGACGAACTCGAGGACACGCAGGAGGTGAGAGCGCACCTGCCGAGGATCAATCGGACTCGACGACGGACCGACCGCTCGCGAAGGAGAATCTTCTTGCCCCAGCGACAAAGCGTTGACACACTCCATGTCTCACGAACCGTTGCCGTTGTCGTTCGAATCCTCGATGTATACTTGACACACCACAAACAATACACATTGCACACACTGTTGCTCTGATCATGATGATATGTGCGGGGTTATCACGTGGCACTCACCTCCCCTCCTCTTCCGCCCCTCTCCTGGTAACCAGAGAATGAACTCCCCGATACACACATCCGACCCTCTCTCACCTCATATCGCACCGGTTCCGAAAAGTCATCCACCGCCCTTATCTGCTCCTCCTCCTCCCCATGTCGACCGAACCGAACGATGTCGACACTTACGTCCGTTTCTTTCACGAAGAGTGGCTTTCTGAAATCGGATTTCTCTCGTCTCCCCTTATCTATCTCGCTGCACGTCCGTGTGATAACGGCTGCGGCACACGGCGCATTATATTAACGCTTCCGAATGCTGAACCAACACACCAGCAGCGGCAGTTGCACCGAGAGATATTATATTTTCCTCCACGCGCCACGAGACACACCACCCCCGTGTTCGTTCTCGTGAACCGTTTCTCGTCGTTCGTCTAAACGCGCTCCCCTTTTAACGGGCCTATCAATATTACAACACAGAAACTATCGATCTGCCGAGTGTATTTAAAGCACGCGAGGGGCCATAACTACGACCGCCGTCGGCGGATATATACCTTCAGCCGTGTGATGTAAGATCCCGCGAGAATATCATCGAATGGTCGCTGGAATGTGAAAGATACACCGTTGCGCGCGAGTGCACGGTCGACCCGGGGATCAGATCGCTCGGCCGAATGCGGCGAGGGACGTGAACGAGAGTCGCGACGGAACGACCCCGCAGATGGCTCGAGCAATTTCGCGAGACGGTAATGCGTACGATACCCGAGAAACTTATGCGTTCCTTCAAATTGCATCGTACTGTCGGGAAGAAAGTCGCGGGAGAAGGAAAGTCTTGGTGAAGTGACTTACCGATTATAAGTTTTCGACCGTGCTCGGCATTGCCTGAAGCTCAACGGATCTTTACGTTTGCAAAACGACGCATTAATCAGTACTGGTTCGTTACACGGGGAAAATAAGTTTGCTGGAACAGCAAATTGTTAATATAGTGACAGGAAAAAAACATTTGTTATGCGTAAAAGATGATTTTGCTGTTGCCGCAAAACGTCGTTGCGACAGCAATAAAATTTAGTTGGCGTAATCAAATTATTTTGCTCTGTCCATGTATCCAGCAAATAGCAATTAATATTTTTAACAAATTCTTCTGCTGTCCAAACAAATGTTTTTTGCTATCACTATATTAACAACTTACTGTTCTAGCAACATTTTTGTCTCCGTGCGTTAGTGAAGACTCGTCTACACGGGAGAAATAATCATTATTTTTATTTATTTATTTTTTATTAATTTTTATTTATTTTTCCACTATTATTAATTTTATGCTTTCTATTTCCCTATGTTGATTTGCTGCATCTAAAAAATTTTTGTCTCTTATTTACGATTTTTTTAAATTTATGTACACTAAAGGATTTCTTTCCGTTAATAAGGATTATTATTATTATTATCACTACTATGATACTGTTATGTTTCCCACGGAAATATTTTACGAAATCATGCTCGTATGCCGACAATTAATACGGGCGAAACGATGCGGTAACGCGGCCTCTATCGCTCGGTGAAGAGCGAGTGGAACTCGTCTTTTGAGCACGGTTGAATGATATATCTGTCCGGCCAGCGACTGTAGTCGTCTACTTGAACGTCCGTAGGCTTTCCACTCGCTGGCCACTGCACTTTGCGCGCACCAGCTCAAACGATATATGTACAGAGTTACGGTTTTGTCCGCCGCCGGCTTCCTTTTTTCAGTCTCTCGGCTTCTTCTTTTATATACATACATATATATACGCAGCTACAATATACGCGCGATCAGTATATTATTTACATATATATATATATATACACACATACACATACATATATATACATATATACATATACTATATGCATATATATGTATCATATACATATAGATGAACCCCGCGAGAGAGAGAGAGAGAGAGAGAGAGAGAGAGAGCGCACGAATCAACTAACTGGCTTTTGACCGCACAACACCATCAAACCTCCGTCCCGCATCGAAAGAAAGAACGTTTGCACGGGCTTGCTTGATAACGACCTCGTCATCACACGTAACACATACACAACATGTACACGCACTTTGTTGTTGACACACAATACCCATTTCGGAGCCGCACTGATGTTCGATACACCGACCGATACGGTGACTTCCTTCCTACGAGGATGAGCACCGTACCTGTGTCTGCATGTTGAAACGCGCGAGAAACGCGACTTCCCCCTTCGCTGATTTCCTGGATTTTGCTTGCGAGATTACGTTTGTACAGGAGGAAGGCGTGCATTCGGGGGCGGTAGGCGATGGTAATAAGCGGTAAGAATAATAGCGACATGAATAATAGTCGAAGCGATTTTTTATTCGTGAAACTACGACGACAGCTGTCATCGAACTCCCTGTCGTGGAATTCTCGACGTGACGGTTACTTGCGATATATTTATAGGGACAATGGGTAATACAGTAACGACTGGACGACGCGTTTACCGAGCGTACTTTTTGCTTGATTCTTTATTCACCCCTCGCGTCACGCTATGCGATACTTTTCGAGAGAGACGATATAGACACAGTATACATGGTATAGAATCACGTGTCTGCGAAGAGCACAAATATCGGGAACTCACCACCGGTTCCCTAGTTCGCCTCCGAATGTGCACGTTCCTCCCACTTACTGTATAAATTTGCGAAGCAAGCTCCCTTGTTGTTTACTTTTACGTTGAGTAACCTCATGATTTCGCTGAGTCCTCGAAGCGACGAATTGATTTCGTATTGTAGCGATTGCACTGGCGTGACAATAGAGAAAGCTAGCGAGGGTTGGGCGGGAGGGGCTCGATAAAGATGGGGTGCATAACGGGCTGGTGATTTTCCTCGGGGGCTGTAAGAATGACAAGACGGGGTTGTCGGGACGCAAAGGGCTCGGGCAAGGGAGCGGGGTTTTGAAGGGATATACAGATATGTTTGATACGCTGGCCGAACCATGTAATGAAACTTGTGTGAGTCGAGCGACGTCGGGCAGACTGCGTTTGAACGACGAGACAGTTCCTCGGTGTGAAGCGAAGCTGTTGAGTAACTTGGCGTCTCTGCGTGAAGAACGCGACTGTATCGCTCCGTCGATTCATTCGGGTCGCCAAGGTTGACATGTTTCCCTTCGGTTGCGGCAGGGGCGTTTGATTAATTACAGAGGCGTTCGTTCGTTCGTCGTCAGCGTCGTGATCGGAGGGCCGTTTCGCTTTCTTTCTCTCTCTCTCTGTCTATTTCTTTCTCTTTCTTTCTCTCTCTACTCTATTCTTTCGACGAGATCTCACCCTATGAATCCTCATTTCCCGATTTCTCCCGGTTTCGCGAGGAAGGACCCACGACATCCTCGATCACAGGCGGGTCCGATCATCAGATGTTCCCCGCTTTCATCCGAAACGCGCGTAGAAGCGTGACTTTCATGTGTACTAATTAGCTGGATATACTAATTAGCGCTTCGTGATGTTTCTTTAACAGTGTGTTGGGAGTTGATTTTGTTCGCAGCGCTGTCCTTCTCTGAGCTCGCTCACTAATCTTGGGAAGTGCTCTCAGTGGTCTCTCTTTCGAGAGACCGTTCATACCTTATGATTCGTGTAGGGTGAAAGTTTCCAACGAAACTTTTAATAATTGGAGCAGTGCAGAGTGAAACTTGCACGTACACGAGTCGTCCTCATGTGTGTTAACAATGAGAGAGTACGATCGGAGAGGGTTGCTTTTCGCGATATCGCCCGTTACTTGCTTGCTTTACTGTAAATATCGCAATATATGCCACAAAATTGTGTACATTATCAAGTATATATATATATATATATATATATACACGAGATAT